CCCCAAAACCCCAAAACCCCAAAACCCCACATTGAGATATTTTGATCAATATTTCAAAATTAAATAAGCATGAAATTAGATTTGAATTATTTCATTTTATAATTTTAAGATACTATAAAATGTTAACATAATTGATGTAAACTTGCAAAACAAGACGTGATGCACTTTGTAAAGTTTTCGAAGCAGTAAGCAAGCCACTACCTGCTTATGGTGGAGCTGCCATCAGCCACTTGACTGATGCTAGAGAATCTGGAAAGTACGTAGTCAAGATTGTGAAAGAGCAATTTGATCTTAAGAGAATCTAGAAACTAGGATTCTAAAGTTAATATCTAGTCGATAAGCAAAGAAATGAAGTTTCGAGACTCACCTCAGTTCCACTGGATGCAGCTGCTAGTAGCTTGCTATGTCTAACTCAGTCACCTACAAACGACTCATTACAAGTGAGGTTTAGAAAGGGTGAGAAGAATGATAAGGATATATTTGTTGAAGTTTGGGATGATTCAGTTAGAGGATTTATTAGTAGTAGAAAGATCACAGATAAGTGTACAAGGATTTACAATGATGCCATTTTTGGCGGTATATCTTGGTCTAGAGACAATAATAGAATTACTTTTATCGGTGAGAAGCCAGAGCCTGCTGCATATAAGAACTACTGGGAAGATGAACAACCAATTGCAGCAGCTAAAGTCGAGGAAGAAAAGAAATAGGAAGAACAAAAAGAAGAAAAGAAAAAAGAAGATACTTTCTTAGACTAGAAATATCTACTTTAGGAAGATTTCGGAGAAACTCTTGTTGGAAAGAAAATTCCAGTAATCTTTATATTCAACATTAAGGAGAACACGTTTGAGGAAGTTTAAGGAATAGAATCAGGTCTTTACCCAGCATATCCTATGTTCGATGAACAATCAAAAGGTATTGTATTTGTGGGATATAGACTTCCAACTAAGAAAATTGGAATGAATTTCTGCTTGAACAAAGATACTAAACTTTATTACATCAAAGAAATCATAGCTGATAAGGCTAAACTTGATAGTAAACCTGTGGGTTATGTTACTTGCTTAAACTCTACTGAGTTTGCTTCATTTATGCCTAAATTCTCTAGAGATTACTCAAGAATTTTATACTTCGGAGCAAAAGAAAAGTTCTTATCCCATAGTGGAAATTATTAGTTAAGATTCCTAAATTGGCCGGTAGCTGAAGGAGTAGAGTCTACTCTCGTCTTAGACAAACGAGGAGAGTACCCTAGTGAAACTGACGAGTATGCTGGTCTTTTTGGCTACAATTAAAGTTACATTCATGCTGGATTTCTAGGTGATTCCTAAAGATACGCTATTTTCTAATCAACTTTATGCGGTTAGGAGAGAATTTATCTAGCTGATTTAGATGAAAAGAAGGTTAGATGGCTGAACTTTTTGGGGAAAGATCATGAAAATAGAATGAATGGAGAATATGAGTTTATGAGAGTACTAGATGACCACCTAGTAGTTAAGCACAGTCAATGCGATATGCCACCTCATATTTATTCAGTCTTATTCAAGAATATACATACTGAATCACTAGACCAATTAGTAGACTTAAACAACTTACAGATAAATCTTTTAGAAAAGGTTACATTTGAAGAAAGTAGATCTGAATTAGAGGGATAAATTGGAAAATTTATCCAGAATATCTCAAGAGAAACTATTAGACTTGAAAACGGTGCTGAGGGATATTTCATCAGAAATAACTAGCTACCTTAAGATACCAAGCATCCATTAGTAGTAATGGTACATGGAGGTCCATTTGGTTGTTACCCACAAGATATGTTCTCTAGAATGAGAATATAATTAATTCTCTAAGGGTATTAGCTACTAGTTATCAATTTTAGAGGTTCAACAGGGTACGGAGAAGACTTTTTAAACTCTCTTCTTGGTCATATCAGCGAATATGATAGAGAAGATTGTGGAAATCTTACCAAGTTAGCTTTAGACAAATATAAGGATTAGATTGATCCAGAGAGAGTTGGGATCTTTGGTGGATCACATGGAGGTTACTTGACAGGTTGGCTGATTGGCCATCCTGATACCAAGGATATCTTCAAAGCCGCTGTTCTTTGGAATCCTGTTATTAACATGTCTTATATGGTAGCCTAAACTGATATTCCAGATTGGATTTACAACTGTTCACTTAATTAAGAGCATAGATATGAGCTGACCTCAGAAGAAAATAAAGAATTCTTTGACAAGTCACCAATATCAGTTGTAAATAATGTCTAAGCTGCAGCTCTGCTTTTAATTGGGCATTAAGATTTCAGAGTTCCACCTAATCAAGCTTACCATTACTATCATATCCTTAAGTCTCAAGGAAAGAAGGTCAAGCTTTATAAATATCCTGAGGATGGCCATGCTATTCTAGGAACTGAGACAGGCTTAGATGCTGAACTCAATATTTACTTCTGGTTTGATGAAATATTTTAAGATGTTGTTACCAAAAGATAATAGCAATAACAGTAACAGCAGGATTAGGAATAACAAGAATAAACTTAAGTAGAGTCTAAGCAAGAAGAATAATAGCAGTGATAATAAGTATGATTCAAGAGCATTTTAATTTCATAAATTTATTTTTAAATCTTTCAATTGAGCGAAATCTAGATTTAAGGGGTTTTGGGGTTTTGGGGTTTTGGGGTTTTGGGGTTTTGGGG